AAATAGCCTTTGACTGTCTGTCTATATCTGTTGTGTGTCTTTAACATTGAATGTTTGCCATATATGTGTACATTGTAATCCGCCCTGAGTCCCCTGCAGGGTGAGAAGGGCGGAATATAAACACTGTAAATATAAATAATAAATAAATAAATGTAATAAGGCAACAATAGGAAACTTTACCCTACTGACCAGATGCGGTATGGCTGATCTGAGATGGTTTTAAACAATTGATTTTAAAGTGGAAATAATTGACTTTACTGTTATGTATATTTATGTTCTGGCATTGAATGTTTGCGGTATATATGTTGTGCTCTGCCCTGAGTCCCCTTCAGGGTGAGAAGGGCAGAATATATATATTTTAAATGAATAGATATAGATAAGTAGTAGAGACACTAAGAAATCCACTAAATTGTGAATATGAGCAATGGAATACTGCAAAAATGCCTGATGCACATTGGGATCAATGTGATGTGCATTGGGACAGAAGTGCATTGGTCCCATTGCACCAAGGCACGCTGCATAATTTATGAGCTCTGCTACATAGTAATAGAACAGCAGTCTTTTACTAGATATGGATGTTGCGCAATTTTGCCATTCTCATTCCCACATACACAGGCACCGTGCCTCAACAGGATCCGTACATTCTCCTTAGGATCTATCCTATAACATTAACATGTTAGGGAGGTTTCTGTTATTCATGCTCTTGATAAAACATCAGCAAGGCAGCCTTTCCAAATAGCTACAACTAAGCCCTGTTATCAATCATTGGGATGGCAGGGCGAATAATGAACTGCTTTAAAATGTCACTAGTGGCAGAAACAAGATTTTCTGAAGCTTTTCATGTCCACAGTGACTGTGAGGATAAGTTTGATGGATGACAACTCTGGTTGGGAACCTTGCCTGTCTGCCCTTCCCCTATGCCACTCTAAGCACCCTTGAAGCTAGGTCCTCACAATGAATATTTATGGCTTGTGAAAGCATCCATTTAGCCGAAGCAAGGCTTTTTCATATCTGAGGGATACCTCCCTCCACCTGTTTGTTGGTCTGAGTTCAACACTTTAGCACAGGCATGGGCAAACTTCAGCCCTCCAGTTGTTTTGGACTTCAACTCCCAGAAATTCAAGCTAGTTTACCGTCTGTTAAGAAAGGTGGGAGTTGAAGGCCAAAACACCTGGAGGGTCAAAGTTTGTCCATGTCAGCTTTAGCGTTTTCGTTTTCGTTTTTACTCTGTTGTAATTTGTTATTTGGGCTTGGCCTCATGTAAGCCGCCCCGTGTCCCCATCGTGGAGATGGTGGCGGAGTATAAATAAATATTATTATTATTATTATTATTATTATTATTATTATTTAGCATATTAAGAATTTAGATGAAAACCCAGAGTGGATTCACCACATCACTGATGTGGATGCCATCACTACTTGCATCTCTGTACATCCATCTGCCTTATCATTAACATTGCCTGGTGAGAACAGCTTAATTTGAAGTAACTGTGCCGTTTTAGGTGGTTACTGATTTTATTCCCCCTTAAGAAGAAATATTTTTATTTTTCATTAAGGTTAGCTGATTTTTTAAAAAAGTTAAACTTCAAGAGCCCCATCCCAGAGAAACGTGACATAATAAATAAACAAACTTTATTACCCTTTTGAGATTGCTACCTGGTATTCCGCTACTGCTTCAAAATCATGCTTTTGAGGTGATGTTAGAATCATGATGTTGAACTAGATTGCAAGGACAATCCAGTCCAACCTCATTTCTTGTGTTAAAAGTTCATGTTCATCTTGTTTATTTCCCACGCTCTGTGCATTAGCATAGAGGTACAAGAGCCTATGGGTTATTCCTCTTAGCTACTTATTTAAGTTTCCCCCCTCTTACTGCTAAGTTCATGTATTTCTTGTCTAGTTCTCTCTATAACAGTTGAGATGTTATCTCCAGCACCTGTTGAATTCCTGCCTTCAAGAATACTGTCCCCCTTTCCCACATAATTCAGTTTAAAGCCCTTCCAATCAGGTTTGTAAGACCCTTAGCAAAAACCTCCCTGTCAGCTGTTGAGAAGTGCAAGCAATCCCTTGCCAGAAGTTCAACTTCATGAAACTACAGACCAAGGTTCAAAAAGCCAAATTGTTCTCAACAGGACAATTTGTGGACCCAGTTATTCACTTCCATTCTTCTCCTCTCACTTCCTGGGCTGTGCCATTCAACTGGGAGGGGAGATTAAATGACAGCCTGTGTATCAAGGCCCTTCAGCTTCTTACTTTGTAATTTCACATGGTATCCAGAAACCTTGCAGTGGCATTGATCCCTGTATGTGAACCAAAAGAAAGGGGTAAAGTTCTCTGTTATGTCATGGATTTTTGTCCCAGGGAGTCAGCACACCTCTTACGTCATTTTGTTAGGCCTGCTAACCACTGCTTCTTTTTCTCTAGTTCTCTAGCTCTGTACCAGATTCCAGTGGCTATCTGAGAGTGAAAACAATCATTCAGGGATTCCATGACAAACAGAATGACTTTGTTGATGATTTTAAAAAGGCAGCTGAAAAGAAGGGCAACACATACTGCATTAATCAAATGGGGTGTTCAGTTCATTGGAACACTAACCCCCCTTCTGGTACTAGGGTAAATGTTTTGCATATTTTGAAACCCGGCCCCACTAAATCCCAAACCATTGAAATTAGTATTGTTGAAGGCTTTCATGGCCGGAATCATGGGTTTTTGTAAGTTTCACCTGCATGTATGGCAGGCATCCTCAGAGGTTGTGACCTCACAACCTCTGAGGATACCTGCCATACATGCAGGTGAAACATCAGAAGAGAATGCTTCTGGAACATGGCCATACAGCCCAAAAAAACTTTTAAAAAATCCATTGAAATTAGGTTTTTTAGTTGCCCAAAAACCTCTAGAAATGTCCTGCATTTGGGAGAAAGAAAACAAAATCTCAGTCCACACATTGCCATCATCTACCAGAAGTGAGGTGAGAACAGTGGTGGTTGGTGGCTCCCATTTTAGTGGACAATTTCTCTGTTTTAATCTTGTCTTAGAAAATATTTCCAAGATTGGCTCATTTGGATACAGGCTTTAGCACCCTGGATAGCTCTTTGGACGTTTCAACCCAAAGCAGAATTGATGTGAAATATCTGCAGCTGCCACTGCTCCAATAACTTTAAAATGAGATGAGATGATTGAAGGAAAACAAGAGAGGGAGATGTCTATCACACCCAGAGCTTAGAAAAGTTACTCTTGTGGACTATAACTTCCAGAATCCAATCAGTTATGGGAGCTACATTCCAAGAAACTAACTTTTTGATCTTTTTTTTAATGTCAGGAGCGACTTGAGAAACTGCAAGTCACTTGTGGTGTAAGAGAATTGGTTGTCTCCAAGGACGTTGATCAGGGGACACCTGGATGTTTTACCATCCTGTGGGAGGCTTCTCTCATGTCCCCACATGAGAAGCTGACAGACGGGAGCTCACTCAGCTCCCTGGATTCGAACTGTGTCCTGCTGCCACAAGGGTTTAAACCACTGCACCACTGTGGGCTCCTTGATCTTTGATGAAAGCTATTAATTAAATGGAGGTGATGGATGTTCAGAGGCAGTACATACCTTTAAATCCTAGTTGCTAAGAGACACAAACAGGGAAAAAACAATTGCTTTCCTGCCCTTTTTTTTTGGCATTTCTTTGGGAGAAACTGGATGACTACAGGCTGGAAGAGACAACTAGACAAGATACACTTTGATTTTTCTTGGGGGTTTTCTTGCATTCCTCCAGCATGAATTGTTTTACTGTTTTTTTTATTCCTACTAGAAAACCCCTTTTGCCTAAATGGTGGCATATAGATTTCAAAGTATGGCAAAATAAGAGGGAAATAAATAAAATACTAACATTTTACATCACAGTTGCAGAATGTATATCTCTGCATAAGAAGTTATGTGTCTACTGTGCTGAATGGCAATGTTATGATGGGTGAACAATGAAAAGAGTACTACCAATGACAGATGTGCATCAGCCAAGATTGTGCAGCTGTGTACATAACTGCACTGTATGTGCAACTTTGCTTCCATGGCCTTGCACAGTGGACAGAAATATTCAACAGTTCCATGAGAAAAATCAAGCTGCCAACAGCATATCCGCAGAGATATTATTGCTGCTGCTGAAGGAACAAAAAAAAGAGTCGTGGTTCTCATGAAACTTTTCCTTGATTTAAGTCTACTGGGAGGAGGCTGATAGCTGTATAGTGGGTGGCTTTCACAGTGTTCAACCTTATTTCTCTCGCAATTGGCAACAACTTCCCTTCTCACATCAATGGGGGCAATGCCAGCTAGCTTATAGAGTCTATCAACAGGTGTAGGTTTGAGACAACCTGTGATTATTCTGCATGTCTCATTTAGTGCTATATTCACCTGCTTCGCATGGGCAGATTTATGCCAGATGGGGCAGGCATACTTAGCAGTTGAGTAAGACAAGGCCAGGGCTGATGTTCTAGTTAATTTTGGGTCTGCATCCTATGGCTCCACAGTCACCTATGGACCCACCCTGGAAGAGTATCCTACTTGGACAATGAGGAATTGCCTAAGTAAGTAAGTAGTAAGTTCCCACAGGATGTTACTGTGTGCAGCTACTTTGTGCTTGGTATTAACACAGTATTTCCTAAATGTTAGCATTCAGTCTATGGTGATACTGAGATATTTAGGGTGGGAACAGTGTTCAAGCTCTTGTCCTTCCCAGGTAACCTTCAGCTTCCTGTTGGCTTCACGATTACATAGATGGAAATAACACATTTGTGTCTTGGCAGGGTTAGACTTCAGGTGGTTATCTTTGTAGTAGCTGGAGAAATCTCACAAAGAGCTTTATATATGCTCATGACCTTGGACTAACAACAGAAGCAAAAGACTTTGAAACAGTTGAAAACCAACTTACTAATGCCCTGAAAGATCTCTCCAGTTACACAGACTACTGCCGAACACTGATTCTCGGTCCCACAGTACCCCAAACAAACCTACTTGATCAAGCCATGTAAAGCATTTTAATGACAATTTGCATAACATGTATAAATAAATATTACATTCTTTCAGTCTACAATGCATACTAGGCAAATATTGTTAAAAAGTCCATCTACATTATAGGGTGGCAAGTTCCATTGCATCCAAGTAGCCAAAGGGGGGGGGGGGACTAAGAGGGAAACCACAGGGTCAATTAAACCCATCAAAACCCTTAAAATAACTGGAATTATAAAGACAGCCATAGCATGTCCCTATTTAGCTGGCTGAACAGGAATTCCAGAGAGACAGAAAAGAACTTTGGTTCCCTTCAACTGTTTTTGTTGTAAATGAGGAGCAACTCAAAGTAGAATCTAGTATTATGATTTTTGCTTGGCCTGCCCCCTTGTGGCAAACTATTTGAAATGATGTGTTGATAATTCCCCTTACCGACTCCATCCTTCAGGGTAGCTCCACCCACTCAGACAGCCCATTGGTCATCTTTGACCTGGTAAAAAATTGTGCCATAATCAGCCTCAACCAGGACTGCTTCTAGACCAAAGTCTTGTTCCCATGAGAGCTTGCCCCTTTGCTTAGCCAGATGTTAGATTTGTCTCAGACTTGAGTTGTGGACACTTGTATCTCTTTTTTCTCATCTTACCCCCAATGGCAGTGACCCTCCTCTTCCTTTCACCCATATTTTTTTTCTCAATTATGATATGGCATGACATGATTTTGTGCAATGTCATAACTGAGAAGTAACAAAGCCAGCCAAGAGTGTGGAGATGTGAGCCCTCTGTAAACGAGGCTTTGCTTGGAGAGGAGAATGGCAGCACTAGGAAAAGTACCTGCTGCAACAAACAGAGCTCATAGACCTTCATGTTTTGTGTTCCAGCACCCTGAATGATCTCTACTCTCAATAGTTTCACAACAGCAGTAATAAAATGATTAAACTTTGCAGTGGATTCACTGCTCCACTGACATCAGAATCACCAGCTGCCACTGGATTTCTGTATGGAAAGATGGATAGATCCACTCAGTGCTGATACTCAAAACAAATTCCTGGGTTTAGAATTTTTTAAAATTTAAGTACATTTCTTAATTTATCTATACCAGATTCCAGTTCTTGTATCTTTCATTCCAGTAAAAACCCCAAAAGCCTGAAGTTTTCCCACTCTGTTGTAAAGACACTCTGTGATTTGAATGTTTAACACCTCTCCTATGACATGCACTGAAAGCAAAATCTGAAAGGCAGAGTGGTGAAGAAGAGATGGAGGAGTGAGTGAAGAGAGATCTATTTTCAGCATGTGACACACATATTTTGTTTAAAAAAATAAACATGAAAAGAAAAAAAAGAACAGCAACTCTTTTCTCTAAACATCATATCCTCCCTTTATCTGCAGGACCAGAAAGCCGCCGTCTGAGGAGAACCTCCACATAGTCTCTTCTCAAGTCTTGGTTTCACATTTTCAATGTGTTATTAGAAATATAAAGACGTTTCATGTGTTTTATTATTTTTTCTGTTTAAAAAATACTTTTGGTACCTTCTGTTTAATAGTCTTCAACACCCTAAGCATAAATTTCATAATTTTGCCTTTTTCCAGTTTATCGTATTATCCAATTTATTCCTTTGGACTCAAAGACATGAGCATTCCATTTGAAGTGAAGGGAAAGAAAAATAACCTACCATGGATAGCTTTAGCAAACACCTCTCCCTATTTAGGAACCCCTATCTTGTTTGTAAATCTGGTTCCCTCCCCAACACACAAACATCCATCTTATGTTTTATGTTCCAATACAACTGAAGGCATCAAGGTGTGGTTCTGAACTGATAAAAACCTAGAGTTGGAGCTATGCTTTGTCTTTGAGCTTCTCCATGTAGTTTCTGATCTCTTTTGTCTCCCCCAGGTCCATATCTTGGCAAACCCATTTAATGTCATCCTCATTGCAGTTGAGGATGGAGTTGACAGTAGGACAACCATCATCTGGAGGAATGGTGGTGAATGTTGTGAACTTGACACGCTTTCGCTTGGAGGTGGGAGAATGCAAAGGGGGCTCAAGCCTTTGCTCTTTTTCCTGCTTGCTCTCCGAGTCAGCTGACCGATGAATTTGGCTCTGGATGCTCTTCAGTGTGTTGCCATTGAGAAGCTGGTTGCTTTCATCAAAGCCTATACCTCGGTCAATATTAGTTGTGCGCTCATCCTGCTGGAGAGCGGCGTTTCCTTGATTCTCCAGCAACTCTGTTTCATTCCCAAGCCACACCCAATCGTGGGAGTGGCTCATAGGGTTCTGCCCTTCAACTGGAACTTGCTTATGTCGATATTTTAATGTGAATGTGGCACAATTTATCAAAAAGACTAGAATGGCAAGACAGAACACTCCTAACAAGGCATACATCCCAATCTCTAAGTCACTGAGGTCTCTGGGCGCCTGCACAAGGTCATTCTCCTCCATGCCACCATTACTTTTGGGGAGGTCAATTTGAGCTGGGAAGTTGGTGAAGTCTATTGGAATGTTTTGGAGCTGTCCATCATCGGACAGCTTTTTCCCATCCAGGCTGTTTTTTAAGACTTTGCTTTTGATTATAGACTTCGCAGTGGTGCTGACTTTCCTTTCAGCGTCTTCCTCTAGCTCAGCTAAAGAGCTCCCATAGTACTGTCCATCTTGGCCATACCTTTCTTGGTCCAGTGACTTCTGCCTGCGGCCACTCGCATGGTTTTCAATCTCATCAGCATCATAATCAGCAACACCATGGGAATTGGCGTCGTTCTGACCAAACTTCACTTTAATTCTACCATTGCCTACAGCTAAAATGCTCTTCCTCTTAGACTTCTGGCAGGTTTCGGAAATCATCATGTCTACTTTAACCAAAATGCCTTGCCCTTCACCTTCTGCTGCAATTACAGGCCATTTCACATTCGAAGTCTGATGGGCTGAAATGACGGATTCGTCGAGTGAGGAAGCAGAAAGTGAAAAGTCTTTGGGATCATAAATGTCCAACGGAGTAACAGAGCCATCACTGAACTGGATCCAGGAGCTGACCACTGCCTCCTAAAAGAAAAAAAAAAAAGAAATGAGTAAGAGAGAACAAGGTTTGAAGTGAGATTCCACATCTATATATCTTCCTTTATCTTATATATCTTCCAAAGAAGAGTCCAGAAGAATACAGTTGGAATCTGAAGGGCAACTCTGAGTGCATCCAGTATACAAAGCTAGCTTAGCCAAGGAAATCAATCATCCCAGTAGGGAGAAGAAGTAGGATTGGGATCTATGTCACATAAAGAAGATAAAGGGAAGGAACATTTTCCCTAAAACTCAGTGTGATCTTGGATTTGTCTCTCCCCAAAAAGCCTCTCCAGCTGACAAAAGCAAAATTTTCAAGCTACATAATTCCAATTAAACAATATTAATTAAATAATAAACACCACAATTAAATAATAAATAGAACTTTGGACATGTGAATAAAATAAGGTCCTTACAACCTTTGAGGATGCCTGCCATAGATGCAGGTGAAATGTCAGGAGAGAATGCTTCTAGAACATGGCCATACAGCCTGAAAAACCTACAACAACTCAGTGATTCTGGCCATGAAAGCCTTTAACAATACATAGTTACTTACACAGAAATGTAAGTTTGGTTGGTGTCTTATAACTGGCAATAGCCACAGCTGTGGCAATAGCCACAGCCCGTATAGTCTCTTCCAATTCTATGACGCTGTGACTATTCTGACAACTCCATGTGGAATTCAGGCAGAAAGTTCCTAGGTACCAAGCTCAAAGATACAATACTCAGAATGGAATTTAAATAGAGTAATTTATTATGTTTTATGCTGTTTATGTATTTTATATCTTGTATTTTGCTATATTTTTAAATTGTTGATTGGGCCTGTCCCCATGTAAGCTGCCAGAGTCCCTCCAGGGAGATGGAGGTGGAGTACAAAAATAATGTTATTATTAAATTACTAGCTGTGCCCTGCCACGCGTTGCTGTGGCCTATAGTAAAACTTATCAAAGTTGAGGTAGATATCTGGACTATTATGAAAGAGAGGTACCTACCTATTCCTTCCCCCTTTTCCTCCCCATTTCTCTCCTTTCTTCCTTCTCTACCTCTTTCTTTCTTTCACTACTTGGTTTCATCCTTCTCTCTTTCCTTCATTCCCTCCCCCTTTCTTCCTTTGCCTTTCTTCCCTCCCTGTTTGCTTCCTTCTTTCACTTTTTTATTTCCTTTTATTTTACCACCATCATAACAATAACAATAATGCAATGCATTGCCTCTGGGACCTGACACCTCTCCCATTCCCCCAGGGTCTAATAGGAATAATAGCATAATAATAATAATAGAAATAACAACCTTTACCCGCCACGTGTTGCTGTGGCCAATCTTCCCTCTTTCTCTCCTTCTTTCCCTCCTTCTTCTTCCCTCCCATCTTTCCTTCTCCTCTTCTTTCTCTATCTCTTTCCTTCCTTCCCCCTTTTTCTTTCTTTCTGCTGTCTCTCTTTTCTTTCCTTCCATCTTTCCTTTTCTTTCCTTTTCTTCTTTCTTCTTTCTCTAACTTTCCTTCCTTCCCCCTTTTTCTTTACCTCCCTTCTCTTTCTTCCTTCTTCCTTCCTCCGTCTTTCCTTTCTTTTCTTTGGGGGGGGAGGGGGGGGGGTGGGGTTTGGAGGTGGCATGAAGTAAAAGGAGGTAAGATTGGGGCAGGGGAGTGATGGAGCGTGGGGTTTTGTGTGTGTGTGCGGCGGCGGGGGAGTGATGGAGCGTGGGGTTGCGTGTGTGTGTGCGGCGGCGGGGGAAGTGGCGTGGGGTTGTGTGTTTGTGTGGCGGCGGGGGGAGTGGGTTGCGTGTGTGGCGGGTGGGAGTGATGGAGCGTGGGGTTGTGTGTGTGCGGGGGCGGGGGGAGTGGGGTTGCGTGTGTGTGCGGCGGCGGGGGAGTGATGGAGGGTTGCGTGTGTGTGTGCGGCGGCGGGGGCGTGGGGTTGCGTGTGTGTGCGGCGGCGGGGAGTGATGGAGTGTGGGGTTGTGTATGTGCGGCAGGGGTGTGTGTGCGGGAAGCGGCGCGGTGGGGCTTGGAGTGGGCATGGTTTCCGCAGAGGGAACGTTGGCCGGAAGGGCATGTGCGCGCGCCAGGGAACTTGCGGCTGGGCGCCAATGCGCATGCTCAGTTGTTTTGCCATTTTGCGAGTGTGTTGTTGTGTTGTTTTTCATTTAGAGTAGATACGTTTGTACCTTGTGGGTTGTGTTATGGGCATGGGAATTTTGGTTAAGTTTCGTTGGGGATTTTTGAGTTTTGTTGTTTTGCCGTTTTGTGAGTGTGTTGTTGTGTTGTTTTTCATTTTGAGTAGATATGTTTGTACCTTGTGGGTTGTGTTATGGGCATGGGAATTTTGGTTAAGTTTCGTTGGGGGTTGTTGAGTTTTGTTGTTTTGCCGTTTTGTGAGTGTGTTGTTGTGTTGTTTTTCATTTTGAGTAGATATGTTTGTACCTTGTGGGTTGTGTTATGGGCATGGGAATTTTGGTTTAGTTTCGTTGGGGATTTTTGAGTTTTGTTGTTTTGCCGTTTTGTGAGTGTGTTGTTGTGTTGTTTTTCATTTTGAGTAGATATGTTTGTACCTTGTGGGTTGTGTTATGGGCATGGGAATTTTGGTTAAGTTTCGTTGGGGGGTTTTTGAGTTTTGTTTCCTCGTTGGATGCCCCTAACAAATTTATATATATAGATTATTAATCCTTTTCAACACAGAGACCAAATTAAGTTTCAGAGGAGGCCTGCCCTCCAGTGATAGAATCATAGAATCATAGAATCAAAGAGTTGGAACAGACCTCATGGGCCATCCAGTCCAACCCCCTGCCAAGAAGCAGGAATATTGCATTCAAATCACCCCTGACAGATGGCCATCCAGCCTCTGTTTAAAAGCTTCCAAAGAAGGAGCCTCCACCACACTCCGGGGCAGAGAGTTCCACTGCTGAACGTCTCTCACAGTCAGGAAGTTCTTCCTCATGTTCAGATGGAATCTCCTCTCTTGTAGTTTGAAGCCATTGTTCCGCGTCCTAGTCTCCAGGGAAGCAGAAAACAAGCTTGCTCCCTCCTCCCTGTGGCTTCCTCTCACATATTTATACATGGCTATCATATCCCTCTCAGCCTTCTCTTCTTCAGGCTAAACATGCCCAGCTCCTTTAGCCGCTCCTCATAGGGCTTGTTCTCCAGACCTTTTATCATTTTAGTCGCTCTCCTCTGGACACATTCCAGCTTGTCAATATCTCTCTTGAATTGTGGTGCCCAGAATTGGACACAATATTCCAGGTGTGGTCTAACCAAAGCAGAATAGAGGGGTAGCATGACTTCCCTAATCTAGACACTATGCTCCTATTGATGCAGGCCAAAATCCCATTGGCTTTTTTTGCCGCCACATCACATTGTTGGCTCATGTTTAACTTGTTGTCCATGAGGACTCCAAGATCTTTTTCACACGTACTGCTCTCGAGCCAGGCATCCCCCATTCTGTATCTTTGCATTTCGTTTTTCCTGCCAAAGTGGAGTATCTTGCATTTGTCACTGTTGAACTTCATTTTGTTAATTTTGGCCCATCTCTCTAATCTGTCAAGATCGTTTTGAATCCTGCTCCTGTCCTCTGGAGTATTGGCTATCCCTCCCAATTTGGTGTCGTCTGCAAACTTGATGATCATGCCTTCTAACCCTTCATCTAAGTCATTAATAAAGATGTTGAACAGGACCGGGCCCAGGATGGAACCCTGCGGCACTCCACTCGTCACTTCTTTCCAGGATGAAGAGGAAGCATTGGTGAGCACCCTCTGGGTTCGTCCATTTAACCAATTGATGAGCGGGACCAATGGAAAAAAAGCCACTGGGATATTTTCACTTCAAGTTCTTATTGCCATTCTTTAGGAAGGGCATTTCAACTTTTTAAATATGGAGCATTGGAACCCATCTTCAAACTGGAGAGCTACCCTTTGATCGATGCTGTAACTAAGATGAGAGTATGTAAGGTTTCCCAGTTCTAACTTGTGTTGCTGTGGACCAGTCTTCTCTGAAAAAACATGCAGAGGCACACAAGGGCTGAAGATACCAAACGTCTTCATTGTTTGGAATACCAGAGTCTTGCACTACTGCCTGTCTATATAGGCCTAGCTACAATATCATAAATCACTCAAGAGTTCTGGTGCCTGGAGCTAGCCACTTTCTACATTTCAGAGCACACTTCCCCTCTACCTTGGGGCAATTGACTTTTATGGCTGGTTCATATGTCCTGTCCTCCCTGTTGGCCCATGGTACCATGTGCCCTGTGTCAGAAAGGCAGATAGTTGGGTGGCATGAGATAGAGATCATGACAGAGTATAACCAAAGGCCAAGAGGGCTAGACTGGAACCCTAGTGAGGTGGTTTCCATTCCAATACTTGAAGTTGCCTGTCCCCGCTATAAAACCAAAACTTTTGTCTGGGAAATATGAATGCAAATTGCTAGTGGCCACTAATACAGTCACAGTCAGCTACATAAAAAGTGGTTGGAAACAAATCACCGTGGTGGTCGGGAAAGACAAGGCGATAAGGGCCAACCACCAGAGGCAAAACTTTTCATCACTGGTGTTGCAAGAACAAGGGACTGTATAGTCTCCTTCCGGATCAGACATACAGTGATAGAGCATCCTGTCTACTACCTCATGAATGACAAATGTGCATTGCCATGTTTTTGTGCATTTGGTTAAGATTTCATAGAATCATAGAATTGGGAAGATTTTTTTTTACACCACAGTTCAAAACAAAAGGGATTTCAAGCTTCTGGATGAAAACAGCAAGGAACATTTAGCTCTCCAGTAGCTTGAAACACGCTGAATATTTAATTTGTGAGTGCAAAGAGTCACATGAAGTTGGGGGCAAGAATATCATGACACTGTAGGGGAAGGGGAAGGGGTTTGGAGATGTCAGCATGCCTGAGCAGATGGCAATAAAACAGAACTAGCTGCAGGAGCTTCAAAGCCAGAGCATCATGCAGAATCTGTTGGGACTGAGAAGGATGTGAGCATACATAGCAATATAAACCA